CCCCCCCCCCCCCACCGATCTCATTCGCTCTTCTCCCAATTGTCTTCGACGTCCATTTCCCGTAGGTTTCGTGTTTCACTTTTTCGTGATATACCCAATCCCCGCGCTCATTCCCTGGGAAATTCACTGCCTCTTTCGTTCGGATGATAAGGTGGAGAATCTTAAGGAGAGACTACACTGTTAGAAAATTACTCTTGAGATTTCAAGTGAAGAAGCTTGAAATTTTTAACAATGACAAAGTTACGTGGAATTTCTGTATATTTCTTCGTTGAGGAATCAGTCGATTTCTTGAATAGTCAAGTAATTCTGGATTTTCAGGTTTATAGGGCGGCGACAAATGTTGAAAGGTTTGGAAATTCAGGCCACAATTTTTGTGAATTCTCAATCTATTGAAAATTGAATTGTGTGTGATGTTCAATTTTCACGATGAATTTGGAAATTCAAGTTTTCATTGAAAAATGAATGATTGTCTAACATGAAAAACCCAATTTGCTTGATTTTCAAGATGATGGAGAAATTTTGTGAACGCTTTCATTTGAAATTGAATTCAAACTCATAACATCGAAAATTCAGATGAGCCTGTGACTGAAATTTCCAGAAATTTCTAAGAGTGTACGGTGAAATTTCAAAGCAGCGGGATTGTAGTGAGATTTTTCATATGTTGGAGGTCGATTAGATGTGTGTTAAAATGAAGAATTAGCGGAAAAAATTAATTCCGGCAGTTTTGGCGGTAAATTATTGTGTACATGATGGAAAAACATTACTGAACAAGTCAACACTGTTAGAAAATTATTCATGAAATTTTAAGTAGAAAATCTTGAAATTTTTAACAACTACTCATTCACACGAAATTGTCATGTATTTTGATATTGAAAAATCAGTTGAATTCAAGAATATCCTATGGAATTGCAATTTTTGAGTCCACAGGCTAATAAAAATAAAAATAATAATATGAATAATGAATAATTTCCGCAATGAATTTGAAAATTCTAGATGTCATTGACATATCAATGATAATCCAACACAGAAAATCCAATTATTCAGTGCAACTGAATATCCATCAATTCAAGTGCAACTATCGCTTAATTTTAAAAAAAATTCTAACAGTGTATATCGGAGAAAAATTAAGTCAAAAATTAAGTTTCGAAACGTAATCCGCGAGCGAAGTAAAATTCAATAAAAAGTGTGAGTCGGAACTGAAAGTGTACGAATCGCCCCGTAAATTCTACGATTTGGTCCGTAAAAATTACCACCCGTCTGATGACTCACCGTTGTGGGGACAACAAGTCGTTCCGTAATTTTTCCCCAACGATTGACAAATTTTATGGAACGGAACGTAGAAATAACTCACCAACTTCATAAAAATTGTTGAACGTTCAAGAATTTTTGATTTTGGAGGTATAATAAGTCGGGAAGTTTCTGTACGGGTTTACTTTTTCGGGAAAAATTACGTGACAATTTTGTACTTTGTGCGGTGATGAACCTGAGAATTCACTGAAAGTTTCAGATTTCTTCTCTTCCATTCCTATAAAAATTGCTGGAAAACGATTCTCCATTGCAAATTACGTGAATTGTTCCGTAATATTTACTGAATATTTCTCTCCGTGTAGGACAATTTTTGTACCCATAGATGTATCTTTTTCACCGAACGAATCATAAAATACCTTCACAAACCACTATTTTTTCATTAAATTCCATTCCGCTCCAGGATTACCTTTCGAACAGTAAAATTTGTCCCGATTTTCCATGCAATTTTTATTCAACTTTTATTTTTGTGTAGCACCGGAAAAATTAATAGGGGCATCATAATTTCAAAATTATTAATTAGCACATGAATTTTTCCAGAAATTTTTCCTCCGCCCGGCTTTATCGAACACTTACGCTATTTCCATAGCTCAAGAAATGTTTTTCGTGATATTCGTTTATTTTTTCTCTCATTGTTCGATTCAACACTCAGGCTGGGCTCATCAAGCCCTTGGAGTTTGTCCCTCATCCCTTATTTGACGTCGAGGAAAGAGTCTCTTATCCAACCATCTCTCCCTCATCATATCTCTCCCCGCTCCCCTCCCCCCTCCCGACTCATCTCACCAACTGCTCCATCTTATTGTACCAACCCTCAGAGGTTCTCTCCAACCCTGGAAACATGAAGATTAATCAAGCCGACGACTTGATGCCAACGAAGGAATTTTAATGCCTTCCTAGGAAGTACCCAACCCATCTAGCTCTCACATCGACCCAACTCTCGGCCCACCTCGTTGGTTATTCTCGTGGTATTTCATTACCCGTGTTTCTTAAAAGAAAAACTTCTTTGACTTTGTTTCACAGTTAAATGTTAAAAACTCGACGTGTCTCATTCCCGAGCGAATCCCAACCGCCTAAAGACCCCCTTGATTTCGTAATTATCCTCGTTACGGAGAAGGATTGCGGAAGAGCAGGTTTATTTTTCATTATTTCACTTCCTACATCAAATATCAGAGAAAATTACTGAATTAAGAATATTCATTTTTATTAATTGAGAACTGCACTGTTCCAATTTTTTGGTATACTTTGTGGAAATTACCACATGATCATTGCACAGAAATTTGGAGTTATTTTGTTATTCATAATTTAGAATTTCAGAGAAAAATTAATGGAAACTGTATATTTTAGTTCAAATATTCGATTAAAATCAAAGGTGGAAAAAAAAGTTTTGATTTTCACGGACATTTCACTGATTCATTTTTAGAAATCTATCAGTAAGTTTTTAGGGATTCGGAATTTTGGATTTGAATGATTCTGTTGGTAATTAAAAACAAATACTTATTGGGGGTACACTGTTAGGAAAATTACTCCTGAAATTTCAAATAAAAAACCTTGAAATTTTTAACAATCACTCATTCACACGAAATTTGCATGTATTTAAGAATATTTATTTTTCTTAATTGAGAACTGCAGTGTTCCAATGGTTTACTATACTTTGTAGAAATTACGACATGATAGTTGTACAGAAATTTCGAGTTATTTTGTTATTGAAAATTTAGAATTTCATGGCAAAATTAATGGAAACTGTATATTTTAGGACAATTATTAGATTAAAATCAACGGTGGGAAAAAAAGTTTTGATTTTCACGGACATTTCACAGATCTTTAGTGATCTATCCTAAATTTTTCGAAATCTATCCCCAAGTTTTTAGGGATTCGGAATTTTGGATTTGAATGATTTCGTCCGTAATTAATTAATTTTTAGAGATAGTATCACTAATTTCTCTGTGACATCATCACTAATTTTCAGTTGAAATGTCCGAAACCTTCAGAAAGGATCAGATACCCCGGTCGGGTGTGGGTTCGGTATCGTGAAAGTATCAGATATTTTCCAAAAGCTTCGTTGTGAACAGATGAACATGTCAAGTTTTGCAGGCTAAAAACTTAAAAACTGAATTTTATATTTTTCTAAAAAACCGATCCATAACCTATTAACAATCCCACAGAGTAATAACAATAAAAATTCGATAATAAAATTATCTGCCGCCGGAGAAGAGAAAAATATTAAATTAAATGAATTGAAATCAATAAATTAATAAAAAGGGGCCACATGTGTACGAGGTCATTATTTTTATTATTCATAAGTGAGTTTAATCGCTCATGGAATGCAATATTAGCGCTATATGAATTTCGAAAAGCTCTCTGGCCTCACATTCTCCCCCACGCAATATATCAAATCTACTATAATGTAGGAAGAATATTCTCAAAATCCTCACG